TTTTGGCAGATCCTTTTTTTTCTTACGCGATCTACCGTCCTCTGTGTACTTTTCACTATTGATTTAAAAATTAATGTGTCATAAAGCTATTCATTCATATTAACTATACATACCATAGTGGTGGTTTGAGCAATTCCGAAACAATTTTATAATCTATCAATCTATTGAAACTTACGCAGATCATTGGAACAGCATACTTCAAAATAACTGAAATTGTAAGTGATGTCAACTCAGACAATACTAAGGGAGCATAAAAACATTATTCAACTTTTTTATTAAGATTTTCAAAAATAATAACGGACAATATTCGACGCAACAGTGACAGAATACATATTGATTCTTTTGCCTTTCTGGTAGAGACGTTCTAGGATGAATATAGAAAATGGTTTTTCATACCGATACGCTCTATTAAATGAAGATAGGCATGAATAATTGTTTTATTTCCTATCTTCCTTTCGTGAACGTCGCCAGAAATAGAATCAATTTGCATTTTTGACGACCAGTATCAAAAATGGTCGTAGTAGATCAGATCAAACTAGACTAGCCTTTAATCACTGTCAGTTTCATATCTGAACATTGCTATTATAAAATGCAAAAGCCAATATTCATACTACCACTTTTAAATTGTATGCTATTGGTAATATTCGTGAAGACTGTTATCAAAGAACTTAACAATGTTGTTATAATTTCTTAGTGGAATTGAATCTGTAATATGTGATATTTTACAATTGCATAGTACTATGCTGATCCAATAATAAGTTTAAAGCTCGAAAGATTTGCTGATACTGTGTGCAAAGGCAATGTCAGAGGTTTCATCTAGAATAGACTGAGCTCATTAGAGAGTTTTATAACTGATAGAAGACGAAAAAATGTCTTCTTTTCTGGTTTCCTCTTCCAAAGAAAGTAAGCCAAGGTTTTTATTGAGTGTCGGCAGAAATATGAAGTGATGTGATTCTTTAAACGACTAGCGGTTGATGCATTTTTTTCTAAGGCACTAAAAATATAGTGGATAGCATGTTATGAAATAATTGTTACATACTTGATTTGAATCCACTTCTCACGTATGTAGGTAAGATTTAAATGTTGTTTGACGCATTCGCTCATTCAACAAAATGAACTGTAGTATTTACTACTGTCTTTATCATGAAAGAAAATGAAATATAAGAGATAAGATTTAAATCATGATATTATTCTTGTAATTACCATAAAGGATTTTAAACATAGGATTTTGTCAATATTTATATCAAACGTACTTTCGATTAATAGAAATATCGAGTCAATCAAATGACTATCATTTATTGGTTTTCGAATATAATAGTTCATTAAACTTCATGTCCGAAAGACTTCATTTACGAGAAACTCGTGATATCAGCATTGTTCTTAGAGCTATCGTTGATAAGTGTAAACAAATAGAATCAGATGAACATGAACATGAACATTCATGTCTTTCATTACAATAAAAATGATTTGAATATCCTTTATCACATGGACAATATGATTTCGTGGAAAATTATATCATTAAAAATTTTTTCTATGCATCTTATTAAATGAAATAATAGGATATAATTATATCGATAAAGGTAAAAGAAGATTTGTTTGTTTTCTACTATTTTTTATTGCGTTCTTAGATAGTGCATGCACATTATTGTTCTTATCTTTTTTTCTTATTTGTATAAGAAAAGCGAGCATATACGATACAATAGTGTACAATAGTTATTCATCCATAAGACTTTTTTTTTCGTTCGTGAAACTGCTATTAATCACGGAAAGACATTGAGGCTCTTTTTTGAAACATTTTGTTATAATATAATGAATGTGTCTCAGATTAAACAAAGAAATAGTCACCATGATCAAAAGTTTGTTTCATAAATCTTCAATAATTGTTGTTCAAATAAAAAAACAAAAACTTTAAAATTTCTGTTTTTGTGTGGAGAAAAAAAGAAAATTTGATCAGAAAGTAAACTTTTAGCATAAAATAAAACAATATTCTTTGCTTCTTTTTTTTTGTAATGTGTATTCATCGTCAATATTTAGTGAGAAACAATGTCGAGGCCAAATTGCATTAAAATCATTCTGGTCGAAGAATATGATCCGTATACTGACGTTTACAATGAAATATGACATATTAATAAGTCCATATTTTCGTCCTAAATACAGAGTCAATAATACGCCCGTATGTATAATAGAATACAACAATATTAAAATATTTTTATGGTAACAATACAGTGTCGTATACAATCTACTAATACTGGGCGTGTTATAACACCACAATATGGCTTAAAAATGGCCGTTCATGGTAATGTTATGATGATTCGTAATGATTGACCTGAGCAATTTTTCCAAGCTTGTTCTTAATAGTAAAGACAAAATGAATATATTTTTTTATTCAATTTATGAAATTTAATATCAATGGTAAATAGATGAACTTGATTTACTAAATCGTTTACCGATCTCCAATACACATCAACTAAAGTTATAAGCATCTATTTTTATCAAAATTTCTTATTGTAAGATTTTATTTCAATTCAATAAAAATTCCAAAGGCAAAAGAAAAAAATCGCCATACAATTTTGAAGTTATAACTCTGAGAATGATTATTTTGATCATATGGCCAATATTTTTTTTTGGCTAAGTTTATTGCCATTACTGTATCATTCATTATCCCTGAGAATATATTCCACTTATTCAATGAAATTTCTTGATATATCACAAGTATCTTTTTTGATCCTAAATACATGCTATTCAAACAAACAATATACAACAACCAATATCGAATCATTCAGACTAGCAATAGTCATGTATTCGATTCGATCATGTTGCATTTCATGTGAAGTCATCATATATTCAACATATACACATTATTCATCTCATCGATTGAATGATTTATTTCTTCTCGGTTTCATTTCATAATCCGATGAATTATTGTTACATTGCAACAAAAGGAATAATTCATTGCATTAACAAAAAAAAATTTATGTCATCTTCAGTTCTTTCAGTCTGCTGGATGTCTCTATATCCGAAACAGAGAAATTCATTATTGACACAGAAATTATGCTGTGAAGATCTTTGTACGATATATGGCCATAATATGGACAAGTATTAATTATCTTACCGATGGGCATAGTCCTAAGATGTTATTAATAAGAAAGAATTCTTCTGTATGCGCATGTGTATCATTTCGAATAGGAAGATTACTCTTCTCTGTTCAACCAATTTATTTCTGCGTACAAACAAAAATCAATTACAATTTATTCTTTATCAATTGGATGTTATGTTTATACAGTAGAATATCTTGATGATTTTGAGGTAGTGAATGCTGTCCAATTTCAAGAGCACGTTCATGAAGTAGAAGAGCTTTTGAAAGTTCTCCTTTTTTAGCGTACAACATGCCAATGTTGTTGTAAGAAGTAGCTAAATCAGGATGATTTGGAGGAAGAATATTTTTACGAATTTCCAGTGCTTTTTCGTGCGCTAAAAGTGAATTTGAATAATCATCCATTTTACTGTACACCAAACCAATGTTGTTATACGAAGTAGCCAAATGAGGATGATATATAGGAAGAGTTTCTTGATAGATTTTCAGTGCTTTTCGATGAGACGAAAATGCATTCGAATAATCACCCATCTGACCATAAACCAAACCTATATGGTTGTAAGAAATAGCCAAATCAGGGTGATTCGAAGGAAGCTTTTTTTCATAGATTTCTAGTGCTTTTCGATGATATAAAATTGCATTCCGATAGTCACCCATCTGGCCATATATTAAACCAATATGGTCGTAAGAATTAGCCAAATCAAGATGGTTTGAAGGAAGAATTTTCTTGCGAATTTCCAATGCTTTTTGATGAAATGAAAGTGCAGTCGAATAGGCAGCCATTTTCTCATACACGATACCAATATTCTGGTAAGAAACAGCCAAGTCAACGCTATCTGGAGAGAGAATCTTCTGTTTGATTTTAATTGATTGTTTATAATAGGTAAGAGCATTGGCATATTCACCTTGACCATCTTTCACCCATCCAAGCATATGATAAACATCTGCTTTTTCTGAATCACTCTTTGTTTGATCAATCAGCATATCATACACTTCTTGAGCCTT